CGGCCACTGCACTCCAGTCTGGGCCACAGAGTGAGACTCCAACTCAAAAAAAAAAAAGACTTGAAATGTTCAGCTAGAGATGCCGTTGCTTCCACCCTACCTTTGCCCAGTCATAGGGTTGCAGCCACTGCCCAGCAGGAGCAGGGTGGCCATCTCCAAAGGCCATGAAAGATAGATAGATAGACCATGGAAGGCATATTATTATTATTATATTATTAGGTCACAATATTCTAGCCACTTTTTTTTTTTTCCCAGAAGTCCAGTGGCAACTTCTTCCTCTCCCTCTCCCCAACCTGCTCCCCTCCTCCTTCTTACCCTCTCTCTGTCTCTTCCTTGGGTCTCGGTTACTTGGTCCTAGGCTGCAGTCCAGGATAACTGCCTGCCCAAGACCTCCTAGCATATCAGGGAAGGATGGATAAGCTTTGGATTACCAGAGAAAGCACCCAGCTGAGGAAGACAGCCTGGACAAAGGTGTGGAGAGAAGGGGATAAATCCGCCCCAGCACCGAAAAAAGTCGCTGTTCAGAAAGGCTCCCGGGCTCTGTGGATCCCAAAACAAGTTTATTGGGTTCATTAACTTTAGCAAGTGACGAAGACACGCCTACTGCACCCTTACTCGCCCAACGCGCAGAAGTTCAGAAGACTGGTTCCTGTTCGGCCCTCTAGAGAACCGGATCCCCACCCTCGGGCTAAGAGTTCCGCCCTCCCTGCCGTCCCGCAACTGAGCGCCGGGCGCTCGGTACCCAATGCGAGCCCAGGCCCGCCTGCAGCCCGCCCAGAGCCGGATCCCAGGGTTCAGATCCACCCCTATTGCCTTCTTGCCGCGTGGCCCCGCCTTCAGTCCAGGCCCGAGTCTGGGCTGCGCCTAACTTATCCCGCCTCTCCACCCTTAAGCCAATCACTATCTCTGAATCTCCTCTGGCCCCGCCTCCAGACCCGCCCCGGCCCAGTGCCAGGCTTGGTTTACCCGGGCCCCACCCCCGGCCCGCCCCTCCGTCGGTGCGCCGCGGTCGGGAAGGCGCCTCCACTAGACGCTCGGAACTGCCGACCCGATAGCTGCCCTCAGGGGGCCGGTGGCGGGAGCGGAGTGGGTCAGGCGGGGCCGAGCCGGGCCGTGGGCCGTGTTGGGGCCGGGCGGCGGCCGGGCCGGCGGACGGCGGGATGGGCTGCACCGTGAGCGCCGAGGACAAGGCAGCGGCCGAGCGCTCTAAGATGATCGACAAGAACCTGCGGGAGGACGGCGAGAAGGCGGCGCGGGAGGTGAAGTTGCTGCTGTTGGGTGAGGCCGCGCTCCTCAGTGGGATCCTTGGTTCCCGATTCGAGTCCGCAGACAAGGACTTCGACCAAGCCTGGGCCCCCACGCCTGTGCCAGGACCTCCACATAAGAGTTGGAAACTCTGGGTTGGTCTAGACCTTTCATCCTAGCCCAGACTCTAGATCAGACCCCCAACTCTCCCAAGATCCGAAACTCCTAAACCTAGTTAACAGTGCCCTGACACCTGCCTCTCAACACTGCTTGACCATCCACCCTTGCTAACCAACCGCACAGAACTTGAGCCCCCTTCCTTCTTTGCCTAGACTTTACCCGAACCCTCAGAACCCCACTTGGTCCTCTTTCTCAGGCTCCACTTGTTTCCCCCTCCTGCTCCTTCTATTCCTATTGGGTATGGGCATCCTTCAGGGACCCTCCCAGGTCCCCCATCCACTCCCTCCTTCCCCTTATGTGCCCCATCCCTCCTCTGGAATCCATACCCTCCACCTGTGCACTCTGGCCCCAAAGACCCTCTTGAGTGGGAAACTGCTCTTGAGCTTTCTCTCCAGCTGGAACCCCTTCAGAGAGCCCTGCCCCCTGCTTCTGGTTCACCAGATCCTTCTCTGCGGCATCACTCCTCAGATCCTCTGTTCCTTCTCCCTTAAGTCCTCTCCCACACTCTGGCCTTCCCTAGATTCTTCCACTCCTCCTGCACCAGGTGCACTCGGCTGGAAGGAGGGGACCCAAGGGGCTGGAGAGGGCCTAAGGCTGTGCAGACAAACCTCCAAAGGGCCGGACTGAGGCTCTGATGGTCACGCCGGGGGAGGGGGCCAGGCCTCAAGCTTTCCAGGGAGGTTCCGCTGCCTGTGTTTCCCAGTTTCGAAGTCTAGTCTGGGAAGTAGGAGGGAGTGTGGAGGAGTTGGGGTTGTGGCCACCTCTAAGGCCAGGGAAGATGGTGGCTGTTAGAGGGGTGGGGGAAGTGGAAGTGGTGAGACAGCCGACATATTGCTGCCCCTGCAGGCGGGCCGAGATCTGCTGATAGGTGCTGCGCTTCACACACCCCTTCTGGGCTGGGGAGTCAAGGGGCTTGCTGGATCTTGGGGTCCTGTGAGGGGGGTAGTGAATTATCTGAGTGAGGCGTTGAGGGGCCAGGCGGGGATGGGCCAAGGTGCTGCTGAGCATCTGAGCTGGCCTTTTGCAGAGACAGGGCCTAGTGGTTGTCCCTGCCCAGCCTCCTACCGGGGAGTGGAAGCCTGATTTTGATTTGGGGGATTTCAGGGCTGGGGGCAGGGAGGCTTTCGCAGCAGCGCAGCATCGTTGTAGGCTGGATAGTATATGGGGGGTGTGGCCCCCTGGCCCCAGAACTGCCATGGGGCCCCTAGGCCGTGAAAAGCAGGGCTTTTCATGCTGGGCCTGTGGCTGAGGAACAGTGTGTTTGTCCATTATAGGCCCATCTGTTGACTGTCCCTGTGGGCCCAGCCTTGGGGGCAGCCCCGGAGGTTTCAAAATGGCATCCGCTCTGCTGCTGCCTCAGGGAGGAAGAGAAGGGGCGGGAAGGGGCGGCGGCCCAGCCTCCTGGGCTGCTTTTGCGTTGGGCGCTTGCCTCTTCCTGTCTCTGCTGCGAGTGAGGCAGCGGCAGTGAGTGGGTGTCGACGCGGCGGAATGCCCGTTGCTCCTGCTCCAGCCGGGCCCGGGAGGGCACTTCCGGGACCGCTGCCACCCAATGCCCAGCCAGGAGCCTCTAACCATTCCTTCCTTAAGCTGATCACAGTTATTGTGGTGGCTTAGGAGATGTGGGAATGGACCATAGGTTCAGGAGAACAGGGCTTCTGCCCCGACACCAAAAGTGGCCCCCGTCCTGCCAGCCTTGCCACTTGAAGCTCAGCTCAGCTTTTGGGTTAAGCCTGATAGGACCTAGCAACCCCTCCCACACTGGGCTGGAAGCAAACAGGGGTGCAGGGTCTGGCTCAGCACTTTCTAGCCTGGGGAGGCCTTCCCAATGTTCTGCTTCCCTGACCTTTGCTTCCTCTGTGAAATGGGCTTCCAGGGTTTGGGCCAAAGGAGTGCCCAGGCTCAGGTTAGGGAGAACAAGAGCATTATGGAGGTTCCTGTCAGGAGTGTGGGGTGGGGGCCTAAGACTCTGCAGAGTGTGTGCTGCAAAGAGCTCAGACCAAGCTTTGACTGATATTGAGGACCCAATCTGCCATGGCTGCCTGGGCAAGGGTCCTGGCTTGAGCCATCCCTTCCCCCACCTAGATACAAAGTGGTAATAGGAGTCCCGCTGTGGCAGGTTCAGAGTTCTGGGTGTCTGTCCCATGTAGCGGGAGACTGTCCAGGCAACGGGACTCAGGCTGGGCAATTGCCAGTCTTCCCTCTCAGCCAGAACCACGCCTGCTGCCCCACCCGCACACTGGCTCCCTCCCATCCTGGGTAGTCCTGCCAGCAGGCGGGCACAATCACTGTCACCAGGGCAGAAGCAGATGTGGTATACTGGCAAGAGAGTTTTTCTTGGCAGCTTGTTGGGGGGGTGGGCAGAGGGGTTGATACCAGTCCTACCTCAGAGATTTTCCCCACACACCTACCCAGTTTATCCCGACTGCTAGGCCCATGTGGAATTTGGGACCTTAGATTGGGCACTTAGGGGAAAGAAAGCCAGAGTGTATGTGTAGGAGGCAAGAGTCACTGATTTGGGATGGGCCAGTGAGGACAGTCTCACAAAGAACAGAGTCACAAAAAACAGAGACTGTTCCACTATTGGCTCTGTGAAGCCTTCAGAGTACAAATAAAGCAGATCTCTCTTGCCCCTGGGACTTTGCACGTGTTGTTCCCTACTTGATTGTTCTTTTTTTTTTTTGAGTTGGAGTCTCACTCTGTCACCTAGACTGGAGTGCAGTGGCCGCTCCCGGCCACCGCAGCCTTGACCTGCTGGGCTCTAGTGATCCTTCCGCCTCAGCCTTCCAAGTAGCTGGAACTACAGGCGCGTGCTACCACGCCCAGCTAAATTTTTTGATTTATTGTAGAGATGAGGTCTCGCCAAGTTGCCCAGGCGGGTCATGAACCCGCGGGCTCACACAATTCACTCACCACAGCCTCCCAAAGGCGCGGGATTACAGGCTGAGCCACCGAGCCCGGCTTTGATTGTTCTTTAAAACTTTACTCAGGGACCTTCCTAGACATTCTCCCTCCACCAAGCCTGGCAAAACACCTCTGGCTCCCATCACTACTTCTTCAGACTATTTGCCCAGCTGCTCTCCCCAGAGACTGCAAGGGCAGGGCTGTGTCCTCTTTACTTCTGTGCCCAGCATGAACCCTGGCATGTATTGGATGCTTCTCATCTGTTTGTTGAATGAATGAAGTATACTCTGAGCTTGGTTTTGGGGATGGGTAGATGGAGGAGTAAGATAGTGGTCACTGAGCCACAGTTTCGCTTACCATGGGCAGGTAGCAAGGGCTCAGTGATGGGCCAGTGACCAGGATTGAAGGGGCACTGAGAAAAGTTCTTCAGGCTGTGTCCTAGTTACCACAGGCTATGCTGGCACCTCAGAAACAGCCCTTACCCCACCCCGCACAGAACTCTTGCTGATCAGCCTGTAGCCTGTCACAGGCACAGCACATAGGGACTCCAACTTTTCATAAGAGGAGTGTATTCTTGGTATTCTTTCCAACTCAGGGTGTTTTGGCACTGCTTCAGGGCTGCTGTCTCTGACACCCTAGTAGAGCCTGAGCTGACTGGTCCAGCTGTCGGAGCTAAGGCTGCCCTACAGCCATGGGGCTCAGATCAGAGCAATGCAGTAGCAGTCCTGGGCCTGGTCAGCATAGAGACTGCACATGGCAAGGGCTCAATTAAGTCTACCAAAAGAAAAGGGTTTTGTGTGCTTTATCCTGTCTGTGTCTCTAGCAAAGGGCTGGCATACTTTGGGTGCCTAATAAGTGTATGGAAAGAGTGAAGCTATTGAATATATCCATGAACAAGGCATAAATCCTGGGAGAGGGATAAGTGTAATCCTGGGGCTGCCGCTTGGAGCATGTTCTAGCTGGAGATAGATGGGAAGAGCTGACCTGGGAGCTTGGCTGTCTGGGTAGTGGGTAGACTCTAGTGGTGCCTGTGAAGGGGGGCTTCCGGGAGGAGGGGTCCTCTGGGCGACCTTGAAAAATGAACACCTCTTAGCCTGGTGTGGTGGCTCACACCTGTAATCCCAGCACTTTGGGAAGTGGAGGCAAGAGGATTGCTTGAACCAAGGGGTTCGAGACCAGCCCAGCCCAGGCAACTTGGTGAGGCCTCGTCTCTACAGTAAATCAAAAATTAGCTGGGCATTGTGCACACCTGTGGTTCCAGCTACTTGGAAGGCTGATGCAGAAGGATCTCCTGAGCCTAGAAGGTCGAGGCTGCAGTTGTCGTGAGCATGCCACTGCTCTCTAGCCTGGGTGACAGACTCCAACTCAAAAAAAAACAGAAAAAAAGAAAGAAAGAAAAATGGACACCACTTGCCTCATCCAGGCACTGCAGGCAGAGGGGACAACTTGGCCAGGACAGTGCAGCAGGTAGACCTGATCTAGATTCCTAGTTTCCTGGCTTGGTGGAGGACCCCCCCACCTTCCCCGAACCAGCCCGTGGATGAACCTGAGTTTGAATCCCAGTTCCACCTATGGCACTGGCTGAGAAACCCTACATCAGGTGAACCCCTTGGCAGGAGCCCTGCTCACCACCTGTAACTTGCGGGGGGTAGGGTGCCTGATTGCAGCCACAAGTATGGTGAAGACAGTCCACCAAAGCCTGGAGGTATGAAAACAAATGAGAGCCGGGCTTGGTGGCTCAGCCTGTAATCCCGCGCTTTGGGAGGCTGAGGTGAGTAGATTGCCTGAGCCTGGGCAACTTGGCGAGACCTCCTCTCTACAATAAATCAAAACTTAGCCGGGCGTGGTAGTGTGCACCTGTAGTTCCAGCTACTTGGAAGGCTGAGGCGGAAGGATCTCCGGAGCGGCCACCGCACTCCAGTCTGGGCTACTCCAACTCAAAAAACAAACAA